GCATGAAGCATTCTTCTGCCTTCCTGTGTCTTTATTCCTGTGGGTCTCTCTATCTGAAACAACCTTTCTATTGAACTCCAAGTATGTCTGCCATTTTTAAACCCAGCTCAAACGCCACATCCTCCCTGAAGCTCCCTACAATCAACTCCACCCAGAATGCATCCTTCCTGTCTGTATGCTCCACAGGAATGAGTTGGCCTCCTCTATACCACCTCCCATAGTCTTCTCTGTGTTATTGCCATTTGGGTTTCTCTGGTCATTCCTCTTAGATTGTAAGCATCTTGAGGGTAAGATCCAGGGTTGCCCATTGGCACAGGATAGTGGGCAGGGGAGTGAGAGGGTTATAACCATGGGTTTAAGTCACACTGTCAAGTTTAAAATCTTCCTCCGTGATGTACTAGCTGCATGACCTTTGGCAACTTACTTCAACTTTCTAGTCTATAATTTCCTTACCCGTACCTACCACATAGAGATCTTGCAAGAATAAAATGTAAAGTGCTTAGTAAGTACCTGGCACATTGTAGGTGCTTAATAGATGTTAAGTATTTGCAGTGCTTACAGTGAGGTCTCTTCATTAATTAATTCATAAATATTTATTGTGTGCTATGTTAGTCTGCTCAGGCTATTATAACAAAATACCGTAGACTGGATGGCTTAAACAATTTACTTCTCACTTACTCAAACATTTACTTCTCACAGTTGTGGAGGCTGGGAAGTGTAAGATCATGGTGCCAGCCAATTCAGTTCCTCACGAAGAATCTTTTCTTGTCTTGCAGATGGCCACCTTCTCGCTGTGTCCTCACATGGCAGAGAGAGAGTGATCTCTTTTCTTTTTTCTTCTTATAAAGCACTTATCCCATCATGAGGGCCCTCAGCAGCTCATCTAACCCTAATTACCTCCCAAAGGCCACATCTCCAAATACCGTCACATCCAGGGTTAGGGTTTCAACATAGGAATTTGGAGGGGGACACAATTCAGTCCATAGTAAGTACGTATATATTTATAGAGCTAGTCTAGGGATAGAGCAGTAAACCAAACAGACAAAAATACCTGTCTCGTGGAGTTTATATTCTAGTGGAAAAAGTAAGGCAGTGTGGTAGACAGAATAATGGCCCCCAAAGATGTCCACATCCTTATCTCTGGAACTTGGGACTATGTTACATTACATGGCAAAGGGGAATTAGGATGGAATTAAGATTGTTAATTGGCTGGCCTTAACATAGGGAGATAATCCTGGATTATCTGGATGGGCTCAGTGTAATCACAAGGGCCTTTATTAAGCGGAATTGGGAGGTAGGAACGCCAGAGGGATGCAATATGAGGACACGACCTGCCATGGCTGGTTTTGAAGATGGAGAAAGGGGATCATGAGCCAAGGAATATGGGTGGCCTCTAGAAAGTGGTAAAAACAAGGAAACTCATTCTGCCCAAAGACGTCAAAAAGGAACGCAGCCCTGCTGACACCTTGATTTTAGCCCAATGAGACTTGTGTTGGACTTCTAACCCTGAGAATTGTAAGATAATACATTCGTATTGTTTTAACCCACTAAGTTTGTGGTAATTTGTTACAGCAGTCATAGAAAACTAACACAGGCAGTAAATATAGAAAATGAATACAGGCAGTATATGTGGTGTATCAGAGGACAATAAATTCAATGGAGAAAACTGGAGCAGTGAACTTGGACAGGAAGTGTTGCGGGGGAGTGATTGTAATTTTAAATAGAGTTAATGAGGAGGCCTGTAGTAACTTTTGAGCAAGGAGGTGAAGTGGTAAGCCTTGAAGTACTTGAGCAAAGAGTGTTGCTGGCAGAAGGCCCAGCAAGTACAAAGGCCCTGTGGTAGGAGCTTAGCTGACATTTCTGGGAACCAAAGAGGACAGTGTGGGTGGGGCAGAATTTGTGATGGGGAAGGTAGTAGGAGACAAGGTCAGAGATAAAGGGGTGCCTATTTCTGTTGGTTTTACTCTGAGTATGACAGGAAGCCCAAGGAGGATTTTGAGTAGCAAGGTGACAAAATGCAACATACATTTTAAGGGAGTTACACTGGCTGCTGTATTGAGAATAGAGCATTTGGGGGGCAAGGGGGAAGCAGGGGGAAAAGGGAGGGGGCTATTGCAGGAATCCAGGCTAAGAGTCTCTGTGGCTTGGACCAGGGTGGTAACTGTGGAGGCGGTGGGAAGAGGCCTGTCTGCTTTTGGGTATCTTTGGAAGGTAAAACCAACAAGACTTGCTGATAGATTAGAAGCAGAATAGAGGGGCCGACCCCGTGGCCGAGTAGTTAAGTTCGTGTACTCCACTTTGGTGGCCCAGGGTTTCGCCGGTTGGGATACTGGGTGCGGACATGGCATCGCTCATCAAGCCATGCTGGCGTGGCGTCCCACATGCCACAGCTAGAAGGGCCCACAACTAAGAATATACAACTAGGTACCAGGGGGCTTTGGGGAGAAAAAGGAATAAAATAAAATTAAAAAAAAAAAGTAGAATAGAAAAGAAGGAAAGTCAAAGATGATTCCATCATTTGGAACCTCAAGCAGCTGAATGATTAGAGTGGCCATTCGCTGAGTTGGGGAAGACAGCAGTGGGAGCACGTCTGAGGGAGAGGATCAGCTCAGTTTGGCTGAATTTCGGTGCCTGAATCCTGCCCTTCCCCCATTCTTTCCCTTCAGATTGCTTTACCATTGAAGCAAAGAAGCATCGCATAAGGAATAACGGCCCGTAGGAAAGAGGATCTTGCTCAATTCACGATGGAGCCGGTTCGCTACACGACACCCATGCAAGGCTCCGATAAAAGCTGGATTGGAGAATGAGATGCAGCCCAGGATGCTATAGAGTTAACATTTGTGTCTTCCCAAATTCATATGTGGAATCCTAACCCCCAAGGTGGTGGTATTGGGAAGTAGGGCCTTTGGCAGGTGGTTATGTCATGAGGGCACGGCCCTTATGAAGGGGATTAGTACTTTCATAAATGAGGCTGGAGAAAGCTTCCTTGCCCCCTTCTGCCCTGTGAGGACACAGGAAAAGATGTCAATGAGGAAACTGGCCTCACCAAACACTGAATCTGCCGCCTTGATCTTGGACTTTTCCATCTCCAGAACTGTGAGAAATACATTTCTGTTGTTTATAAGCCACCTAGTCTACGGTATTTTGTTATAGCAGCCTGAACAGACAAAGACACAAGAGGACCAAGGAGAGTTTGAATTTAAAGAGCAGATTTTGAAGGCTGAACCATTCTTTTCGAGCCACCAGGTCACAGGTGGGGAGAAGCTGGATCAGACAGTGGGTCATTGACCCCACTCCCTGGTGACAGTTATCCAGGAAGTACCAAAGTCTCCTTCCCACTCCCAGATTTACCATTCTCCTCCAGGGAAGTGGCCAAGCACGGGCAGAAGTGTGAAGGAAGATCTCTTTTCCCTACAGGCAAGGCTGAAACCCAGGGAGACAGGCAGAGGCAATTCCACTAATGTTTATTGATTGGAATCGAACGCCCTCTTTGCCCTGCCCATGCCCTACTCAGCTGCACCCTGGAGCATGAGCCCTGTCTGCAAGGGCCGAAGTTTGATCTCCATGTTCCGCTTCACCTTCTAAGCCAAGAAACCTTATTTTTCCTCTCTTCTTGACAGAACAGCAAAGATAGTGTAATGAGAATTCTCAGGCAGCCAACAGCCTCTTCCCAATTAGGGTCTAGAGAGTGAGAGAGCAGGACGATTAAAGGTAAACTGGAGTAATTAAGAGGCACTTCCATTCTAACTCTTCTGGATGATGAAGAGCGCTCTGATTGCCATGAGACCAAAAGGACAAAAGAAGCTTTAAATGCAGCGACTGGGGTTTGAAGTAGTTTGGAAATGAGATTGCATTACTCGATGACAAGCAGAAAGTGCTTAGTGGCTGAGGTTTGTTGTCTGTCAATTTTTTCCCCTCATGTTTGAGTTTTATATTCACAATCTTCAATATTTTTGCATTGCCCAAGTGACACAGAATTACATGGGATCATTTAATCCAGGGTTGATATCATTAAGCCATGACTATTTATCAAATATTTCTTTCAACATCAGAAATGACTTGAAATGGCAAACGATGCATGTGGTTTTAGAGGTTCTTATTTAGAAGTTGAAGAAACCACTTTTGGGGGAGGGATGTTTTCTCCATATATCCTAATTTCTACTTATTTCCATACCTCTTTAATCTGTGTAGTAAGAACTGTAAAACGTAATCGTTATTTGTACTCAACAATATGCATTAAGATGCAGCAATACGGGGAATAAAAAGATGTAGAAGACATTCTTTTCCTCAGGAAGCTTATTTAATGACTTCCACTACGAGCTAAGACCACTTCTTACGTTTAGTTCACCCCTCATAACCACCCCGCAAGATACATATTGCTCTCCCCAGTTTACAGAGGAGAATACTGAGGCTTGGAGTTTACAGATCAAGATCACACAAATAGAAAGCGGCAGGCTGCGGATTGGGGTGTAAGGTCTGCGCTCATCCCATTACTCCCAGCTTGTTCTAGTAAATCCGCCAGAATCTCAAAGCATTTTCCAATGATTAATGAATGCTCCCCATTGTCAGGCAGTCCGTGGCATTTTTTTCAGCAAGTCAGAGAATCTTGGACAAGGTAAGCGATTTCCCCGTCTCTAGGTGCCTTGGATGTGGCCGTTGTGGAGCCAGAACGCAGCCTTTCTGATCCAGGATCTCCCCGCCGCCCTGGCCGGAGGGTCGCTGTCTTCTCCGCTAGGCTGGGAGCCCCCGCACATTGCCCATTCCACCTCTTTCCGGAGGGAAGATGACCCAGAGGCGACCTGCCTCCTCTCCCTCGTGGAGCTGTCATTCCGCCGGCGGCCGCCAGGGGCCCCGCTCGGGAGCCGCGCGCCGGGCGCCCCTGGGGCTACTTTGGAGCAGCGGCGGCTGGAGCCGGAGCCCCGCGTCCGCCCGCGCGCCCGCCCGCCGGCCGGCCCGCTGAGACCGCGCGCGCTGGCCCCAGCGCCCTTGGCGCGGATCCGCCGGCGTGGCGCCCCCGGCCCGGAGCTCAGCTTCCTCCCCTCGCGCCGGCCGCAGCTGACCCGGCGCCAGGAGCCGTCAGGGCCCCGGGCTGAAGTGAAAAGCCCACGGTGAGTGAGACCCGCTCCGAGCCGGGGGAGGTGGCGCAGTCCGGCAGCTGCTCGCGCCCGGCCGCCCCGGCAGGCAGAGGTGCGGGGCGCCCCGGGGGGCGGGGGCAGCCGGGGGGGCGGGAGATGGCTGACCCCGCTTCCCCGCCCCCGGGCGCGGGCTTCCGGCGCTGGAATCCGCTCCGACCCCTGCCCACGGCTGGGCTTCTCGCTGCCTCCTCGCGGGCTCTTCCCGGGGAGGAACGGAGTCCAGTCCCCACCCCGGCTCCGGGGCCTTGATTTTACAAGACGTATCAATAAAATCCGTCTTCCTTCGGGGGACAAGTCTGTCCCCGAACCCATCCCGAATCGCAGATGACTGCAGGTTGCGTGTTGGGCCGGGAGGGGGACGACGGTTGGCAGGCAGAGAAACTTTTACAGAAGTGCGCCTGGGCAGGGGGCAAGGTTTAGGGCACCTTGATCTTGGAGGAGGAGGCTCGGCTGGGGCTGCGAGGGGGACTCGGCTGGGTCGGCCAGGCCGTCCCCGGGACTGTTGGTGCTTCGTGGAGGGAGGGGTATGTAAAGGACGTACAAATCCTGCTGAACCCGTGGGCCAGCAACTGTCAAACATCTGGAATCCCAGCCCCTCCCTCTCGCTGCACGAGGAAGAAGGGGAAAACCCTTCAACTTTCCTTGATCGCTCCCCCCTGCCTTTGAACCCCTCTCGGAAGGGCAAAAGGCCGACCCCTGGCGCCTGGCAAGTAAGTACCAGAGAACCCCAAACTCCTCAGGATCCCCCTTCACCCACCTTCCTGACCCCCCTCCCTGACGTCCTCCCCACAGGGACCACGCGACAGAGCCGATGGAGATCGTGGCCAATGGCCTTTTGTTTCTCCGCGTCTCCGCTATTGTTTGCCTTTCCAACATCTGGCGGAGCTTGGGGGAGAACGAAGCCCCTGTCGGCCTCCGCCCCCGCCCCCCACGCCCGGCCCCCGGCCCCCTGACCCCAGACCGCTCCCGCCCGGGATCCCGGCTGGGGCCGGAGCGGAGCCCGACCCCGGCGAGGCCGCCCCGCCCGGCCTTGCGGTTGGAGGGCGGAGGGAAAGTTGTTCCTCCCCGCCCCCTCGGCTGCCCGGGGCCAGGGCGCAGCGCTTAGATCTTCTCCCAGACGCGCCGCGAAGGGGTGCCGCTTTCGAGAGAGTGAGAGCCAGGTCCTGCCTCAATCCAGGGTGTCCTGTGGTGGGTTCCTGCGGATTTCAGTCTCTGGCTAAAGGCTTGTGGCTGGGCCGCTGCCAGGGCAGTGGGACCGATCGGGGCGCTTCGGGTAGGCAGAAAGCCGAGGTTCTGTTTCCAGGGGCCAGAGGGCAGGCGAGAATGGAGCCGGAAGTAACCTGGGAAGCCTCAAGACTTTGCCTGGAACTAGTGCTGGGGTGGCTCCCTCCAGAATGAACGTGGAGTTCTGACTTCGCGTAGGGCTCCAAGTTTGAATCCCACGCCGCCTCTCAGCATTCAGAAAAAGCAGACCCGGAGGACACAGCGCGGGCGCCGCTTCCAAGTCCCTGCGACCCAGTGGCTTGGGACGGGCCCCGAGGTCCCCTATGGGTGCGCCTGGTAGATTATAGGTGGCCCTATTTCTCTGCGTTCCCTCCCAAATCAGATGCTTACACATCGTGCTTATTCTTAGTGAGTGTGGATGGATTATTTCTTAAAGAACTAGGGCAAAAGCAAAGTAGCCACCTGAGAGGGCAAGGTCCCCGGATGGTGCCCGGAGAGTGGCTTTACTTATGACTGGAGGCCGAATCTGTGCACCTGCTGGAACCGATCCCTGCTCATAGCTTTCCTGTACCGGTGTTGCAAGCTTTTTCTTTGGGAAAAATCAGTCCCTCTTCCAAAGAGACTCAGTTAGTACACTCTTTTTATCCTCCACTTTTCAATCCCTCATCCAAGCCAGGGGAGACAGGAAGCTTCCATCTGAACGTTTGTGACCTGTGTACCCACTCAAGCATTATAAGTGGAAACTGTGCACTTGGCTCTGCACAGTTTTAAGAGTTTTCCCTTTACCCGACTTAGAACTTTTGAGCTTCCATTTAATAAAGAAGAGCAAGAAAGGAGGTGGCTAAGTCAGGAAGGTGGACACAGAGCACTTTCTCCAGTGATTTCTGGATATGACCAGTGGGACCAACAAAAGAAGAAAAGCAAAATCTTCGAAGCACCGGAGGGCACTTTACAAACGTTTCATTAGGAAAATGGATCCCCAAGGAAGGCGTCCTTTGAAATTTAGCAACAGCAGCTCAGGAGAGAACCAGCAAGAAGGACCTGGGTTGCTCAAGAAGTGCCCACAGGCATCATTAACAAAGGGAAAGGCAGTGCTTGTCTCAGTCCACCCCAGTAAGGAAAACAGGGTACTTGTAGTGAAAGATAAGCTTGTACAGTTTCTTTAATTTTATAATTAAAAAAAAAAAAATGCCCCCTCCCAAATCATTGTAGAAAAAAATAGAAAATAGAGAGAGGTGAAAATGAAAACAAAGGGAAAAGGAATATTATAAACAAGACTTCAGTGAACAATCTTACCCAGTTATTTCCTTGGAAGAAATTTCTGGAGATGGGATAGTGAGGTGAAAAGAGTTGATGTACATTTTAGGATATTTCAGATTGCCACATTGTCCTTTAGGAAGCTTGTGCCAGTTTACCCTCTCCCCACAATACACAAGAGGATTTTTTCCCCTGTACTCAACACCCCCCTCACTCTCTATATTATCATTCTTTTTTATCTCTGCCATACTGATGGGAGGGGAGTATCTTATTTTGCATTCCTTTAACATTTTTCATAATGTCTATTAGTATTTCCTCCTTTGGGGTGATGTGAGTTTGTGTCTTTACCTATTTTTCTGTAGGTTGGGCTCCTTTTTCTAACCCGGTGCTGTTAATAAAAGCATACTGTCTGACTTCTGCCCCTGCCGGTAGTCAGTCTTGCTGACTTGGAGTGCCATTTCTTTTCCCTCCTGCATAGCAAACATTTGGCCAGACCACAACCGTAATTTACCAAAGTAACTGACATGATCCCAGTAGAGTTATTAGGGAGACCACACAAAGGCATTATTAGAGAAATGCATGGCAAATATCAAGGGTATGCTTTCTGCCTCGTAGTTGCGTGCCCCAACTCCTTTAAAGCTTGTAATGCTTTTTTTTTTCCCTTTAGATCAACTGTTGATGCGTTGTTTTGACTAAACGGATTATACTAACTCATTTTATTGTCTGATCCTTCCACGGATAACCAATATACCATGATCCACAATTTGTTCCTTTAAATATTTCTTATACCTTTTGGATTGAATTTGCCTCAGTTTCATCATAAGACTTTCCCTGTTTGGCTCTGGCATTGGAGCCTGCACTTGGATGAATCTAGAATCCAAACAGTTTAGTAGCATGCGGTTATAACAATAGCGAGAGAGTCTCCCAAGGGCTGAACAAGGCACGTCTCACCCTCTTTTCTGCATTTGTGTAGCCACAATCTCTGTGTTAATTCTTGCTTGAAGGTAGATGATTCTGAGATGGGGTAGAGGAGAAAGAGGAAGAGAAAATTCATTTCAGCTAGATGATGAATTAATACAGATGAAGGACCACACAAGAAAATTTAAGTAAATAATGTGGATAATCTAGGTACAAAATAACTTTACACAAGAAAAAATATATTAAAGCATCATGTGTTATTAGGATGACTAATTGACTTAGAAAGTGGTCTTCTAACTGGGACAGTCCAATGTGAAATTCTTCTATAGTGTGACTGTAGGCATTTCATTTCAGGCACACAAAAACCCATGAAAGGCAGAAACTACACTTTTCTGCAGCATTTTCCATGCCTATAGATATAGAAATTAAATAATATGCATTAGAAATGAACAGTGCTCTCTGCACTGGAATCATAGGCTCTCAAAGGTTGAACTAAGGCTTAATGCTCTTCTAACTCAGCCATCCAACATCACTGTGACTCTTCACTCTCTTAAAATAATAAAACACCATGCTACAAACTTTGTATCATTTCAAATAAACCAAGCTCAGAAGCAAATGGGCCAGGAGTTTCAACTTTTTTTTTGCGGGGGGGGGGGGGGGTGGGGGGCGGTGGAAGAAAGGGAGAGTATTAACTCTATGGAAGCGAGTATGAGCTCTTTTAACAGTGCTGAACTTCCGTAAGATAAACAGCCTTGGCTGCAAGAAGGTTAAGCTGTTGAGGTGTTACATTTTGCAACATTTTCTGATCCCTATTTTCTTCTGGCAAAGTTCAAAGGTGATGGAGCAAAGCAAGTAGAAAATAGCAAAAGGAAAGAGGAACAGAGAGTAGAAGATGGAGAAGGAATCTTATTTCTCTAAAACTGCCCTCAGGGTTTTCTAACAAGACTCTTGGTCACCCAGGGGGTGTTGGCCTCACCTCTCTTAGAGAGGTGAATGTGGCTGATATTTCAAGGCCAAACTTTAGAGATGGTAAACATTACATAAACCACCACCAATACAGCCCATGGCAGGTTCAAAGGATAGCACAGTAATTCTTAAAAAGAAGATGGAGGAGGAGGAGATTTTGGCAAGAAATGGAATTTTAATTCTCAAAAGATACCTTATTTCCTCCTGAGTAGTGCTATGGATTTCAGAAGGAGATAGAAACATCTTCTGATTTCCACTCGGACGATCTCCCAGGCACAGTGACTGTATTTCTTCTCTTTCAGGAAATTGTCTATCCTGTTGAAATACCTCCTCAGTTCTAGGTGGCTCAGCCGGGGGACCATCGTTGCTGAGTGTTTCGTCCCTTCCTCTTCCATCTCCTTCATGTCTTCGTTTTCCTTCTCTTCTTCCTCCAAGCATTGTTCCAGGTACTGCAATTGCTGACCAAGTCCGATTTGGATTTGTTTCAGATGTTTCTCTTCCCAAGCGGATCTGAAGGTGTATTGACTGAAGATGTTGAAAGCCTGTATAGACGCTTCATAGAAGGCCTCCTTGATGTCGTTTTTCACAGGCTGGGTGTGCGATAGAATCTCTTCGGGCAACTCAAAAGCTTTGTTTTCTCTTAGACACTCTATAGAAAATGAATTGCTCATAACGCTCAGAAGTCTCAGATTTTGCCAGGTGACTCTACTCAGGTGAATATTCAGAAAGTTACAGTCCAGCGAGAGGATGCCCGTGATGAACAGACCCACAAGGCATGCAGGCCACAGACACTTTCGAATCACATCAGGCTTGACGCTCATTTTTTTTCCGAGCTAAAAAATCCACAAGACTCAAGCTTGGCAATGATGTTTTAGGTCTTCAGGGTTCCTTCGTGTGCCTTTTATACACCTGAATATCTTCAGTGGGGAGGAGTTTTCTCATTCGTCATTTTGTAGTTCTCAAGGTTTCGGCCCCTTTCCTTTGCCTCTGAGGCTTTTTTTGACTTGGGGTGACTACGCTGACTTTGGAAATGCTATCTTTTTTTTTTTTTGGAGACAAGTGAGCAAAGCATTACCATTGTGTTACCTTAGATGCCTGGATGATCCATCCCAGTACTATAGAATCATCATAACAAGACTAATGCAGAGTATTTCAGGAAGAACTGAAAGCTGTGACTCTATACACTCACTCACTCATTCACCCAACTTTGTTACATAAGAGAGCGCAATCCTTCAAAATCACTGCATAACTGGCTCTATAGCCAAACATCTCCTCTCATTGAGTTAGTCATAGACATTGACCAAATGACTATGATTACCTGGTTGTAAGGCCACCAGACCATAATATAGTTTAGGTTTTCCCAATCTTGTTAAATTAAGCTTCTACATTTGGATATTTTCTCTTTTTATGTGATTTTTCTGCATCTCAAAAAAGATGAAAAACAGAGTTTGTCAGTTGAGCCTGGCACTTATCAAATAGAAGACTAAGTCAACTTGGTTTTCTGTTGCCATTAGAAATGTTGAAACTTTCCATCCTTTCCTTTAGTTAAAACTGAACCAGTGCTTCCCATCCCCATCTAGCATTTCGTACGCCTCCAATATCTTTCCTAGAAGTTCTCCAAGGACGTGTATTTTGGGGAATACTTTTCTGCTTCAGCAGCTTCTCTCTTGTAGTAGCGTCCATTTTCTTTATTTTTAGATATACTTTAGACAGTATTTAAAAACTTTTGCCTGGCTGTCTTTCCTTCCTTATTGGATGTTCTGGACGCTGCAAAGGTTTTTGTTTGTTCCTGTTTGTGTTTCACTGAGGAGGTATGTGAGTAGGTGATCACCCTTGTAGCCTTTTAGCTAGTTCACACCTGGACCAATGTTGCTGTGGTAGTGACGGCCATCTATCATATATGGTTTTCACTTTATTTGACCAAATAACCTCCTTCTGGTTATGGTCAAGGTAAAGGGATTCCTTTCTCCAGGAAAGTGAAATGGGATGTCGTTAAACAAGATTAGCTTATTTTATCATCTTGGAAAAAGCAATACATTAGTTTTCAATAAAGTCATTTTAGAATGGTAAGCAACCACAGTTCCAGGAATATGGCAGAACTTTGATTGGAAATTTGACTTTAAAAGTTCTTCTCTAAATCAGTTGGCTGTATCAAAGGCTTATTGTGGACAAGTGAGATTTCTTAAGGTCGTAGCTTTTTGGACTGGTTGCCTATGGAAAGAAAACTTATATTACTCTATGTGCTCTCTCTCTATAAATTCTCATTTCACAGAAAGATTTCATGGGGTGACTAACTTGGAAAAATAATTAGGAAAATGGACCGTTTTTATAGGATTATAAGTGGACACAACCTTCCTAGAGAGCAAAATGGTATTATGTAGCAAAAGCCTTAAAAATGTACATAATCTTTGACTCAGCAATTCTCCCTCTAGGAATTTTTCCTCAAGAAATAGAGATGGATGTCTTTAAAGACTTAGTGGTCAGAAAGTTTATCACAGCAAAAAACTGAAAACGATTTAAATGTTCAGCAATAGATACTTGTTTAAGTAAGCCATCAGTAGAAAACTCTGTGCAGGCGTTAAAAATTGTGTTATCAGGAATATATGTGGTCACTTGGATAGATAGACTTTATAGCTTAAAAACAAACTTTACATGGTAGTATATAGAGTCTGATACTGTGTTGTTAAATATAGACATATGCATATATGTACAGAAAAAATCTAGAAGCATATCTCTGATTGGAAAAGTAATGGGTGATTTTTATTTACCTGGATTTTTAAAGTTTTTTATAGTCAGCAAGTATTCCTTATTTAATAAGGCAAACTGTTTTTAAAACAAGATACATTAAAAAAGAAAAATTATTATACGTCTACAATTGGGATCAATACTACTTTATTTACTTAAACATTTCTGTTCTAGGGTACTTCAAAAGGAAATGTGAATTTTCCCTGACTCAGTTCCAATTTAGTTGATATGAATGATATAGAGTATATGGGAGTTCAATGCGCTATTCTTGCAACTTTTCATTAAAAATATATATGTTTATATATACATATGTTTATGATTACACACACACATACACACACACACACAGAGTCTATTTGTGCAAAGCTCATCTGAGGGCCATAACTTCTTACATACCTCACATCATTTCTACCTAAAAGTTCTTCAGTTGTCCCAGTCAGAGCTGCTTGTTCCTCTTTGGGGCTTTTGCAATGCTTTGTCCTCCTTACTTATGGCTTTTTAAAATAGATAATTATGTATGTGTTGATCTCCCAATTTTGTAAACCCCTGTCCTCCACTCACCCAGGGTGCTTAGCATCCTTTGCACTTATCTGAGACAATTCTAACCAAGTTAAGAGATTGTTCTATTGAGTTACTAAGCTGAGAGGTTCTGCTCCTAGGTGATGGAAGTGGCTGCAGATTTGGCTTTTGTCAACCATCTTGAAGATCCCTGTATTTTCTGCCATGTACAGTTTTGTCATTTCATCTCCCTCACCCCAAACTTTCTCCCTTTATAGTCATTCCATATCATAGCCCCATTTATTCAAAACTGTATTTTTAGCATTTGCCACATGCCAGTCACTGGGCAAGGTCCTGCATAGCTCTTGATCTCAAGGAGTCCATGATTGAAGAAGCAGACATATTCCGAATGTTATAGGTAGCAGGAGTAATTCGTGGGTATTCCTTATAGCATGGACCTCATTCCCTATGTGTTATAAATGTTAACTGATGCTGATGTTGACAATATTCATGGCAAAGAAGGAGGGGTGATTGACACGCATGTCTTCTCCTTTTTCACCATCAGGGTTGCCTAATTTTACAAATGAAAATACAGAGCATCCTTGCAACATTTGCGACATATATATACTAAAAAATCATCTCTTGTTTATCTGAAATTCAAATTTAGCTGGGTGTCTCGTGTTTTTTCTGACAACCTGATCCACCATGCAAACTTCTATTGATCTCTTGGAGCAGAACTCAGACACGAAGCTGTCGGTAGGAAGCTTTGCATCTGTCAGCTGTCCACCACGTGCAGAGGTGCGTTTGATTGCATTTCTCTGTGCTGACGTGACTTGTGCACATGCAGGTATCCCTGACAACCATGCACAAGCCAAAGAGGCCACCTGCCGTACTAAAACAAAATAGTACCTTCATACGTGTACACTCACACGTGGGTGCTCTGATCAGAAGCGTTGCTGGATGATCAGTCATTGGTTGTGCCTCTGTTCTGTAAAGCCATGCCATCTGAATATATCTCAAAATATAATCAGAAAATCGAAAAGGATGACAGCGTAAGGAAGTGTTTTTATCCCCAAATTTGTCTATCACAACCATTAGCGGGCTACGAGTTGACATGGCTCTTGTTGTTTCCATGATATCTGCGGTTACTTCTCTGGCCTATCTTGAGTTCATTATATATAGTTAGGCTTTCCTCGGAGGGAAAGCTGATTAGCAGGGGCTGCCCTGTTGTTGACAGAGCTATGTGAAGTCCATGTGGATGACAAGCTTAACAGTAATGGGCAAGACACAATTTGTTTGATAAAATCGAGATGAGACATTTCAGTCTAGACAAGACAGCTGTGATTCAGCTCAGGGGCATTTGGCATCTTCTGGTAAGATTTATTGTTCTTTATGAAAAGGCAAGTTTCAAACCAGGGTGAGAGTAACTTGTTGATCATCCACGTTACTCAGTACATGAACGTAAGTCATTCCATTTGTGGGATCAGAAGGTGATTGAGCCCAGTGGAGAGCTCAGAAATGGAAAGCCTTGCATCCATGCCTGGCAGTGCTTCCTCGGGCATGCAGACAATGGTTACCACACATTTGTGTGCAGCTGTTTTAATCCCAGCCAACCCTGAACCTCCAACTGGTGTTTCACTCATTCTCACTGGGTTGGGGTCAGCCTCTCCTATGGTCCTCGAGTCCACTTCTTGCCTGTTCTCTTAATGATGTACCTGGTGTAGAAATTTATGACTACATAAGTAATCCATGGATATGTCCATACTGTGAAAATTCAAACCCTTCTGCTAAAGTGAAAGCTTGGCTTGCCAGCTCAGCCTCACGTCATACCACTGTCCTTTCCTGTGGTAGCAACAGTTATCAATTTGGTATGTGTTTTTATTTGATATCTGTCTCCACACTGAACACTGAATTCTGTGAGTGCAAGGGCAACACCTGGCTTGTTTGCTGCTCTCTCTTGAATGCCCAGAAGGACCCACAGAGGTCGCGAGAGACCTGAATCCCTTCCATGGGTGACATGCTGCATGGGATTGAGGGGACTTGTATATATTTTTTAAAAAATTGCCAAAACAGGATTATAAAAAATGTGATATGCTTTGAGGTTTAATCCAGTAAGTGTATCTCTGTGACTATTTATATGATATCGTTTGGATATAATATAAAAAATCTAGATTGTGAACCCTTCACGAATATGAGGCCCAGGATAAGCGGCTCACCAGACGTGGATCAGAAAGATCCAAGTGACTTTCGCAGCACCTGGCACTCGGTCAGTGCTCAATAATTACTTTTGCATGACTGAAGGGAGATAATGAAGCCGTGTCTCAAAGACAGGCAAGTCATTTGGTGGTTTAGTTCTCTTGGTGTAGGGATATCAGGAGGACAAAATCAGGCATTGGAGAAGCTCGATGCATTCACAGAATGGTAGATGGCAGCTCAAGTGTCCCTTTAATGCCCTCTCCTGATTCCATTGTTTTCTCTTTGGGATTCACCGAGGCTGGTTAGGTCATGAGCACTGTCATTCCTCTAAACTGGTGGTATCACTTAGTTCTGCATTGTTTGGTTGACTTATATACCTTCCCCTCCAAA